TTTGCACCCACAAAGTGTAAGGTCATGCTTGTGGACGTGCAGTCACTGAACACGCCCCTTACAATCCAGGGAGATGTACTGGAAGTTGTGGAGCGTTTTACGTATCTTGGAAGTTGTATTAGTTCTGATTGTAGTATGACAGATGAGGTGAATGCACGAATCTGCAAGGCTCGGGCCGCGTTTGCTGGCGTGGGTTGGTGCCGGCGAATCCGTAATGAGGCAGTTAAAAAGCGTGTTTTTGGTTGTGTAACGGGTACTTCCATTGGAGTGTCCAGCACCAGAAGCTGCGTTGGTTGGGACGTGTTACGTATGCCGAACCATCGTTTGCCAAAGAGAGTGCTGTTTTCCATGCCCAATTCGGAGTGGCGTAACCAGAGAGGTGACCAACCCTTGACTTGGCAGAGGAGTATGAAGGAGATCACGAAACGCTTGGGTGCTGTCGGTGATAATCGCCTTCCAGGACGGGGACCGCGTGATCCTCACTGTGCCTGGTTGGAGACACTACAATATATGGCTGCCAACCGATGTCAGTGGCGTTCCTGTTGTCAGTTTATATCCAGATTGCCTGAATGAGTGTCTGGAAGCGTAGGCACCTCCGAATAATAGTAGTAAAGTAGCACTAATTCCCTTCCATGTCCACTTTTATTCTTTTCTTTACAATAAGGCCTTCAAATAAGTCATGGTTGTACGGCAGTGAAGCATCGGTGTTGAACACCGATTGCTGGCTGTCGATGATGATGATGTCTCTAACAGCGTTCCTACAGGATGCGGTGTCTAGCAAGGATGACCACTTCGTCCGTTCTTAACTTCGTTACATGCTGTCGATGATGATGATGTCTCTAACAGCGTTCCTACAGGATGCGGTGTCTAGCAAGGATGACCACTTCGTCCGTTCTTGTTCAACTTCGTTATGGGTGAAGTAACGAAGCGGACGCCGGTTGCTCAAATCCTTGATGGTGAGAACCTTGTGAATCTGGAGTATACGGACGAGGTGGTGCTCGTAAATAGCGACGAAGTTCATGCCCTATTGAATAAACCGACCATTGTCTCATCATCTTTCGGTATGCGCCATGCATCTTCAAAGTGCAAAGTCATGCTAGAAAAACGCAGTCACAGAAAAGCACCGGAGGTCATGGAGATATAATTTATGGTTATACGGTAGTGAAGCATCCATGTCAACACTGATGTTGCTATCTCTGATGATGATGAACCGCCATCGAACTATACGGAAGCAATTTTTCAACTAAGGTTCGGCAGTTCGTGTAACAGTACTGTGCTTTCGTCCAGGAGGGCTGAATTTCCACACTTCCAGCAGTTTCTGAGCGTTGTTCTGGACCTGATGCCAAGGTTTAGTTGATTGAACCAGTGATCAAGCAGAGGGGCCAGCACCTTGCAAAGTTGTGGACAGTACCTTCAGACGAGAATTAACATTAGAAGCCGTCTTGTCCACAAGGGACTTCTGTG